CCCTTCCCACTTTTACTAGAGGTCTAGACAAACTTATTTGCAAAAAAAAAAAAAGATTAATCTCAATTTGGTCTCTTATTTGCACAAAACCTCATAAGAATTCAACTTCTGATGCAAGACAACAGATACTATTATATTATTGAACTTATGCAAATAACCATTCTGCCACAAAAAAGAACACTCACAAATATTTTCCAATTGCAAAGGGATGAGGAAGGGAGAAAAGTTTATGTTTCGATTTAAAAAATTATTTTTTTAAACAAATTGCTGAACCTAACAACTCAAAAGAAAACAAAAATCCTTAAATCCAGAAGACAAAGCATAGAAGAAAATCAGTAGTTTTAGAAAAAAAGTCATAGAATTCTATTTCACTAGTTTAGTCTTACGTAATCTCTCTTTGGTTGAATTTACAGTGTTCCTATGGTCTGACCTTTCCATTAACATTCAACATTATTACCAATATTTCAAAACTTGTCTCTACCACTAAGTTGGCCTTTTTCTTGGTCATTTTTTGTTCTCTTATTTGTCTGTCTAGCTTTAGTTTTCCTAGGAATAGTAACAAAGTTTTCTGATGGTCATAGAACACGATTCTTTTTGTTTCTTGTGTGCTTGTTTTTTTTCCCTATTGCAGACACAAATTTCACAAAGAACAATGAGGAAGTATCCATCTGATGGGTACTAGGAGAAGGGACTTGACAGGAGCCTCCGGAGGCAGCCATTGGGACACTTTTTTACAGATTGTCCTAATGAACCAGCTGCGTTTTCTCTTCTTTTACTGAAGTCATACATTATAAATATTTTCATATTTTATTTTTCAGTATTTTTATAGGTATATTTATACTGGGACTTGGATTTAGAAAAGTGATCATTGACCCTGTCACATGCTAATCACCTGATAAGTTTTAAAAATCCTTAATGTTGGGAGCAGCAGATGGTGTAATGGTTATGCTGCTGGACTCCCATGTAGTCGACCATGGTTCATGTCCCCAACCCGGTGGCTTAAAACTCATGCCAGGCACATGTGCGTGCATACCCAGAATCCTG